ATTCAGGCTCATATTCCCATAGATTGGTTAAATATTGAATTTCAATTCTATGAATTTTCTCCACTTTCCTATTGAGATAAATTGCTGGTTAGAACTTATGGCCTATTCTTATGAGGCTAACCAATCTAGAATTTCAGACGCTGCAGTGGCATCAGGATTAAGAAGCCAGATAATGCATGCTTAGACTGAATAAACTAGCAAGGAGTACTCTGAGATAAATCAGACTCAGTTCTGAGATTTATAACATCCAATCCAGGGAACTAAGATAACCCACTGTGGTAATAATATGAGTTTGATCCTTTTTATCCCTCAAAACATTCAGCAAGTATTGTTAATGCAACATGATCCCTTAATGTAAGATTTTCATGGATTAAAAAAAAAATATTGAAGAATCAGATTACTTTCTCCTGAAATGACTGCAACATGCTTTCTAATTATGTAGTTCCACGTTTTTCAGTTTTTGGCATTATTGCATGGAATCCCAGTGGAATACTTTGTTGTTGTTGTTAACTGTGAAGTTGTGTCCGACCCATCGCAACCCCATGGACAATGTTCCTCCAGGTCTTCCTGTCCTCTACCATCTTCTGGAGTCCATTTAAGTTCACACCTACTGCTTCAGTGACTCCATCCAGCCATCTCATTCTCTGTCATCCCATTCTTCTATTGCCCTCAATCTTTCCCAGCATTAGGCCCTTCTCCAGTGAGTCCTTCCTTCTCATTAGGTGGCCAAAATATTTGAGTTTCAACTTCAGGATGTGGCCTTTTAAAGAGCAATCGGGGTTGATCTCTTCTAGGACTGACTGGTTTGAATGCCTTGCGGTCCAAGGGACTCGCAGGAGTCTAGTGGAGCTAGCTTGCCCAAAATACCCAGCTAAGATTTATCAAATTTGCTCTAATGAAGAACAATGTTATGAAATAATAACTTTTTCCCAATCACACAATGTGAGCTGCTTTAGTTAACAGAGAACTGTACCATATTACAAGAGACATTTATGATGAAAGATGTCTGATGATGTGTATCATGAGAGAGAGATATACATAATTTTTTGTGGAGACAGGGAGTTTGCCTGAAATGGCACACAGTGATTTTTTTGGTGAGATCTATCAACATTTCTAAGTTTCGACTGAAGCCAGATTCTTCTTTATGCCCTGGAGTACTTGACAATAACACCAAGTTTTTTTTATTCCAAGAGCTAGTTTTATGTATATTTGCAAATTAGAGAATTAATGATTTGGATTTTTCCTCATTGTTATGAGCACCTGCTTTAAAATTCTACACACATACTTCATTGTCAGTTAGGTTTAATGTGAGGCGCCAAAAGTTGCAAAACAATGGCTTTGTTTGGAGAACTAACAATAGAATGGATCCTAGTTTTCTTATCTTAATACCATGACCAAAGAAACCTTTAAGATCCCTGGGCCCTAAATTTTACAAGAAAGTATGCACAATTATTGAGACTTTCTATGCCATATATCTAAATTCTGAAATATACGTCATGCACGCACAAATACACCTCTGCCCTTCTTTCCTGCAGTTTTGTATGTTTATGAAAATTCATGCCCCACAAAGAATGGACCTTTTCATTTTGTCTTGTTCTGACAGAGCCATTCCTCTGGTTTCCACCAACAATGTCTTGGGTTAAGAAGCTGGAAGTATATTATTTTGGTGTCCCAGTCTCATTGGACATTTGGGAAACCATTTGGGTGAGAAATGTCAAATTTACACAAGCACAGAACCTTAGGGAGAATTTTTATAAAATGTTTTATAGATGGCACCTTGATCCACAAAAAATGTCTCTTATGTACCCTGACGTGCAACCCAAATGTTGGAGATGTGGTTATAAGGATGCTTCCTATTATCATATTTGGTGGTCATGCAGAGAGATAAAAGCATTTTGGATCAAAATAGGGTGGAATATCCAGAGAATTTTTAGAAGGAGGGTAAAATTTACTCCGCAATTATTTTTGTTAGGCATTGTTACAGATTGTGATACAAAGGAGGTTGTATTGATGTTAAATTTGATTACAGCCGCTAGGCTGTTAGTAGGACAATATTGGAAGAAGGAATCTTTGCCTACATTGCAGGAATGGTTTCTTAAAGTAGCTTATCTGGCGGAAATGGCAAAGATTTCGGCTTTCTTAAAGCAACAAACGCAAGAGAAGTTCCTTGCTGTTTGGGACAAATGGATAAAATTTATACAATTTAGATTGGGTATACAAAAATATCACATAGCTTTTTTATAAGTTTTATTATATATATATATATATATAGATATTTTATATATATATATATAAATATAAATTTTTTAATTTAATTTTTTATTTTTATTTCTTAATTTTTAATTAAGCCTATATTCTGCTCTGGGAAGCTCAGGGGGGGGAAGGGAGGGTTTTTGTGAGGGGTGGGGGATGGGTTTTTTTTTTTTTCTCTTTTTATATATGTAAGTTTTTTTTTGTATATGTTGTCTTTTGTTTTGTATTGTTTTTGTCTTTTTGTAAAATTTATAAAACTTTCAATAAAAAAAAAGAAGCTGGAAGTATATTGATGGTTGTCTCAGTGGGAGGAATATATCAAAATATTGCTGATTTGTATCGCTTAGCCACACTAAGGTTATTCAAAGAGCAGCAAATCCCCTGGGGCATAACAGTTGGTCTGTTCTTAACCTCAGACTCTTATCTCTCACAGACAGCTTCCAGTTCCTCCCCTTCCCACAAGCCTTGAGGCAATGCAACATAACTGAGGGCTGCCCCCAGTGTGAACAGACAGAAGGGATATGGAGTACACAATGCCTTGCTGCATAGAATTAGGTTGGGGACATAGAAAAGTGTGAAGCAGAGGATATGCTCCATTGCCGGGGCATATGAAATATAGTAATATATTCTTTTCCACTAAATGAACAAGAATTGTTTTACTTCAGGTGCACAACACAACCAGAGACAGGTAATAAAACGCACAAAAAGGTGGTTCCCGTAATGCAGCAGAGCAGTTTACAAATATTTGAAGAAGGTGAAGCAACACATGTTTCCATCTAAGCCATTAAGGCCATCAGGCTGAAAGTCTAACCGTTGGAACAAGACACCAAATTGTACAAAACATAACTATGGACTTCAAAATAATTTCCTAAAATTTAGTGATCATAGTTTCACATTTGGAATTAGTAGATAAAGAGATATACCTACCAAAACTACAAACCATATAAACTTAAATCAAGCTTAATACACAAAAAAGAATGAAAACTATAAATAAAATAATTCCCTTAATACAATTGCAATGGCAGAAATCTACCATATCTTCTGGGACAGAGCATGATAATTTCTTCATTTTGGTCCTACCACTGATAAGATCTTATTGCAAGAAATGACACCTTGTGCCACTGATGGTGGGAACATTCAGAACAAGTCCTCCGATGAGGACTTCAATGTACATGTAAACTGAGAGTTTGAAAGGCACTCTGGTTTAGTAGCTAAGGTGCTGGAGTAGGATTGGGAAGGTGAATTCTAATCCTTTTTTTTTTTATCACATAGGCATAAAAGCCATGAGGTTAGCCTGGTCCATTGTTCCCGCTCAGTAGCAAACCAATTCTTAAATGTTCTCTATAAAATTCATAGTTTTGCCTCTAAAGTCATTAGGAGTTGAGAGCAAAAAAAAAAAAAAAAAAAAAGAAAGAAAGAAAAGAAAAAAAAGAAAAAAAAACCAAATGAAATGGAAAAGAGAAGAATTCAGAGAATAGAGCATTTATTTTATGTGTTGTATCTTAACTATTACACAACATGCCTAAGGCAATTAGGTGAGTTAAATAGCTAATCCAACAATTGAACCTAAGATTTCTTGGGTCTGAGAAACTATTCTATATCAATTTTGAAAGGAGAAATAGTTATCTTAATTTGTTACAATAAAAACAAAGACAAGATTGTGCCATATTGAACCTACCAAATGTATAATAGTGTACAATACCTGTAGACAGTAGCCAACACAGGTTTATGCAATAATACATTTTAAAAACATCCCCAAAATCTATTATAATGTTGCATCATTTATTCACCTCTTTTTCTAGAACAAGAACTTTATTTCCCAGGAATTAATTTAGTGATTTGATTGGTAGGAAAAGGCAGCTTTCATACAAGTAAAGTATAATGACCCCCAAAAGGGGGAAAGCTGTATCCCTTCCAGTAAGTTTGCTCTATAACAAATAATTTCCTGTCCAAGCCTTAAACAGATTCTCTTTGAATAAGCTCATGTACAAAATGGTGGGGGTGATAACATCTAAAAGGCAAATTCAGGTCTTCTACTTTTAGACAAAAAGGAACTCATGAGGCAGTGGAGACAAGACAACCTCATTCTTCCAACACAAAGAGGCTGGGAGATTTTACCTCATGATTCAGCAGCTTTGTGCCAATTTACAGTAAAAAGGGAGAAAAGAGGTGCCTATATGGGAATCAGAGTTGACAAAGTTTTCTTGTACAACTTCCTCTGGCTCTCTGCTGGGTTCTAGCAGGACAGTGCAACTGCATAACATCATGTACAATGAAGAAAGAGAGAAGGAGGGAAATCTGTCATTGATGATGCAAAGATCTCTGTCCTTTTTCTAACATATGCCTGAGGTCCTTCCTTGACTAGATTGTTAAGAAGCCCATTCCTCCTGACAATTCCCATTCTCTTGTTCCATAACTCCAACACTGACAATGTTTGTTTGGCTTTACCCCTAATTGCCTAAGTGTCATAGGAAAGTCATTGTGAACAGTCAATGAAGCAATCAGATGACCCAGGTCATAAATTCTGTAAGTCTCATGATTATGCATATTTTGCTTCGTTCATTTGATACATGCTATAGGCCTTGCATTACTGTACATGGTTATTTCAGTGGTGCACTGGTAGAAAGAAAAAAAATAAAAAAACAGATTTGTATATAATTAAGACACTTGGGTATAGGATTTAGCCCATGCACATAATTTCTACTCAATCTTCTTTTCTCTTTAATAATATATTATGCTGCCCCATCACCAGCTTGAAAGTAAAATTTTATTTATTTTCAAAATCCTTGGAATGGCTCGGCACCTCCAGTTTTAATTCCTATTTCCATGATGTTGGAGCACCATTAATCAATTCATCAAGCCATAATTGAAGCAATCTTGTCTTGTTCTTTTTTTTAATGGCAAAACATCTGGCACCTAAAAGACAAAAGACAGTCAGTGATTCAGAGATTATGCTGGCAGCTTGTCCATTACTCTGTCAAAGACTGGGTTCTGCTAAACATTGCTAGTGAATACAAACTCCTAAAAGCTCTCTAGAAAACTTCATGGGTTTGTTCTTAAAGTCACTAGGATTTGAACCCGTTTAATTAGCATCATTGACTGGAATGTGTATTTTTCATTTATGAGAAGGCAATGACACAAGAGGTCAGCAGACCATGTTTATAAGGACTGGGTTGGACTCAGTTCTGATGTGGAACAAAAAGGAACTTAACATAGTGCAAGGAACAAGCTATTTTTCTTCATAAGGTGGACAGATTCAACTTTTGATACATAAGCTGTTTGACTTTTTGATTGCATGCCCTCTCTATTAACATGTATAATAATATTTCAATATCCTTCATTATCCTCAGTCAATAATGGTTATTCTCAAATTTCTGTTTGTAATGCTTTAAACTATTTGGTGTCTTTCATTTGGGTAAAATTGAAAAAAGGGGTCTTCAATTATATCAAAGAGCCAGTTCTGATGCTATTTTGACTTCATAGGATTATGGAGAACTTTACAATGTTATTTCGTTTAATGTCTCTGGTAAACCACCCAAAGTCACTTAAGTGAAGTAGGCAATGTACAAATTTGATAAATAAATTAAATAAATACATAAATTTTGGATTGTCTGCTTTGATAGCTCCATTTGGTAAAAGTGGATAAAGAGACAAGCTCTGTCATTGTGATGAAAATTGTGTGTATGTATCTCTGTCTCTTTTGCTCTACACTGCAGGATTTCCATGGATTTGTAACTGGAATACATGCCACTATGTCTCCCATACAAAGCTCACCTGGGGACTTCCCACATTGCTAAACAAGGATCTTCTTCAGCATCTCTAGGCCTTCTTAAGAATGTTTTGACTATCCTTAGTCCATTCTCTGCAAATTCATTTGCTTGTGGACATTAGGAGTTTGATGTCATATGTTCAAACCCATCAGGTGGCAATATTTTTAAACAATGGTGTGGTCTGTGATCTATGATCAGAACTTATAGTATGTCCTGTGTAGTGAAGAAAATTTGGAGGTGTTTTATAGTTGCTTGTTCTAACAAGTCCTCTTAATTTGAAATGTTATTACCACAGCATAGTATTTATCATGCAATGTGAACAAGTAATTGTCTGTTGTTTTTCATAGGACTAAAGAAAACCCTCTGTCTGAAGAGTAGGAATGAATCTGGATACATAGTTTACCATAATTACCATTTACTATAACAACACGCAATTTACTATTCCCATGAATATCTCATCCTCTTTCTGGCATGTCAGTTTTGGCATATCTATGACTGGGTGTACTTAACCTAAAATTACTTTAATGCCCTGTTTTGTTGGTATTTTTCTCAAATGCTACCGTATATTTTTTGAAAGTTCAAATATTTCCTTTTGTTCGGTTTAGTATTTGAAGACCTGGATTTTAACCAATGATCATGTTCTTCTGTAGTGTTTTATAGACCAAAGTAGTGTTTTCTTTGTTTGGGGCATATGGAGATTCATCTAGCTTGAAAAATATCTTTGTGTCTGCTAAAGAATTCCAGTTGTGTTGAGTAGTTATAATACTCTCTGAAAGAATTTCTTTAATTCTTTGGAGTCTAAGCTAATTTTCAGATTTCTACTTATCTGGTGAGTTATATAGATGCTTATTTTCCCTGAAAATAAACTGCACCCTGAAAAAAGACCTACCCTGATTTTTTTGGGTAGGCCTAACATAAGCCCTGCTCCAAAAATAAGCCCTAATTAGGACTCCGCCCATTCTGTCCCACCTGGCTTCCACAATGGGTAGGAGGCCACGTGGCACATGCCGCTGCCACAACAAGGTGAGGCAGATGGGGAAGGGGGTGTGTGCTGCTGGCCGCTGCAACAACAAGGTGAGGCAGGTGGAGAAGGGGGTGTGTGCTGCTGGAGGGACTTTCTTCATACTTTGCTCCACAGATCACCTGCCCGGCAGCAGCCATCACCCCCTTCTCCTCCGCCAACTCTCCCGTAGCTTGCGCCTTAATTGGGTGGCACAAGCCTCCCCCCCCGCCTCCCTCTGCCAGCCCTCAGTCGCCACCACTGGAAAAAAAAATCTCACAAGAAGTTGGAAGATCTGACTGAACCTTTTTTAATCCCACGAACTCCATTTCAGCAGGAGAGAAACGCACCAGAGCTGGAAAACAGGTTAGTGTTGAATTTTTTTTTGCTTTCAGGAGGTACTCAGAAGGAAATGGGGCTGCCATTTTGAGAACAGAGAAGGGAGATGTGGGGCGATGCAAGGCAGCAAATAAGTGCTCTTCTCTGCTCTGCATCACTGCACAGATTTCACTCCACTTCCTGTTCTCCATTCTCTCCAGTGATGGCGACAGAGGGCTGGCGGAGGGAGGTGGCGAGGGAGACACAGTGGCAGCAGAGCCTTTTGCCATCACTCCCCCTAACCCTAACCTTTAAGTAGGAGTTACTATGGTATATAATAAAATTCAGGTCTTTTGATCATCTTGCACCAAATACCAAATGTCACCCATTTTGAATGTCAAGGCATGAAAAGTAAAAAGGACTAGGACAATTATGTCTCAGATATTGCTTCAATCTTTTCTCTAACTTTTTGGAATGACAAAATTAATGGTGATTATGATGATGGTAATGATGACAGCAATAATGTAGTTGAACAAAGGGCAGTTGATCTCATGAAATCATAACATCTGAAAGCAGGGTCAGAATTTTCCTACCATATGTTCTACTGCAACAGCACCAATACAGCAAGATCTTACATTCCAAAGGTATTCTGAAATTCTTACCAAAAAAAAAATCATATAGAGAATTCTTCCAGATTTTCATTCAGCTTTTCCACCTGCTCAGTCTTGTCTCTCTGATGTTCAAATGTTTCTCCTTGAAACCACAGAAAAAGTTACTTCTGCTTAGGATGAAAATAGAAATGCTTGAGCAGTTTCATACTCTTGCCTCTGAAAGTTGGAGCAAACATCCATAAGCAGAAGGCCGTACATATCAGCAAGAAAGTCTACTGCAAAACCAAAAACGTAGGAAGCAAGAATGAAAAAAGAAAGTACAATGGGCTGCACAGTTTTATGCACTGTCTTAGCAATTTTCCCAGGCATATACTGTAGCTGTCAACTAACCCATGATTTCCTTGTGACATTCTAAATATATAATCTTAGTGGTCCCTTTTCTTTCAACAAAAACAAGGAGTGTTGTCATACTTTAAAGATAAACAGATTTATTATGTAGGAAGCTTCCATGCACAAGAGGTCAGTCTCTAACTGAACACTTTCTAATTTATTTAGGTTTATGCAGTGGTGGGATTCAAATATGTGAACAACCGGCTCTCTGTGTGGATGCCACTTCTGGAAGTCCATTCTGGGCCTGGGCAACAAAAAATTAGCTGCCAGTTCTGCCGAAGTGGTGCAAACTGGCTGAATCCCACCACTGGATTTATGGCACAATACATCTGAATATTCTTTAGATGCATTGATCCCATAATTCATTACATTTTGATAGATAGATAGATAGATAGATAGATAGATAGATAGATAGATAGATAGATAGATAGATAGATAGATAGATGAAAGAGTGGAAAGACCTGTACCTGGGATATACAACTGCCTTTTTTATAAAGCTGTACAAAAATCTGAATGGAAAATACATCTATTCATTTAGATATACATTTCCAAATGTGCTTTATGACAATACATACATTTTGTTATGTTCTGTTTTCAAAAAATAGCACTATAGATTAAAGTTTTTGTTTTGAAAGATAGACTGTATTAATCTTTGAAGGTGAAAGTTGGGAGGATTCCTGAGAATGTGCACATCTCGTTAAACCATGCACAGTTCTTTACAAATGAAAATAACTAAGTGAAAACCAAACAAACCACATTATACCTTAGCATGTGTGAACTGGGGCATCATGTTAAGCCTTGATGTGGTTGGTTGGTTGGTTTTGGCTTAACCACAATTAACACACCAAATCAAGTTGCTACCCGAAGTTTATGATTTAGCATTTTGTATAATAAGAATCACTAGCTGGAAACCTCAAGGCCATTCTTACCTCTTCCTAATCTCCAGGTACTTTCACAAGATGACTTCAGGACAGTTTAAAAACAGGTCCACAGTTCTATGTTCCCATGATGTTGGCTAATCTTGGCAGCTGAGCTGATTTATTTCTTGCCGAGGTATAACCCAAATCATACCAAAGTAGTATTTCTTTTTGCAACAGTCCAGCTCTACATAGTTTGTGGGTGGCCTGTGGGTGGACTTTTGCTACAGGCATCTCCAGGGTGAGACAAGGAATGGGGTAAATGACAAAATGTGTGCTATGACATCATAATGCAAACCTCTGCCCTTAACATGCTTGTGTGTGTCATTGTGATTCAAGTACTGAAGCTTAGAGCTTGTATCATGATGTCACTATGCATTTTTTTTGACATTTTTGTGTCATCGCAGTTAGAAACAGAAGCCTATTGTCTCATTCTTCCTCCAGGCAGCTTCAGATGATTTAAGTTCCTATAAAAGAAATGCTGGCTTGACTTAAAGGGGTGAAATAGATTACAGTTCTTGATTTTCTCTTTTTTTTCCCTTTGGCAAGGGAAGCAGGGCCATGCAAAGTGTTAGCTGGCTTGGTTTCTTCCTTCTACTCCTTTTGTGTGGATCAAGGATTGAAGGAATGGTGAGGATATGATTGAAGTGGTGAATGGAGAGTTTCCCCTGGCAGTGATGCTGTGGCTTCTGCCTAATTTTTGCTGGTTTTTAGCCTACATTTGTAAAGGGTAAAAGCAAAGTTCATTACAAACTGGACTAGCTCATTATATTATAAGGTTTTTTGAAGCCATGGTAATACCGAATAATGCATATCTATCATTATACCATGTCAGCACACTGAGGGTGATAGGAAAACTTTATTGGAAAAGACTTGAACAAGAATTTTATAGCTTACTTATGTTGAAATGCTGCAATTTGCTGTCATTATTATAGCGCTAATTTGGAATTTAGGACAAATCTTCTGCTAATTACTGAACTTTAATTTCTTTATTGTGCTTGTTCAATTTCAGCAAGTTCTAAAATTAACTTTCTATTGTCCCATGTGAAGCAAATGAGTCTGAATGAATTGTAACACAACAAGGACAGAGACATTTAAGACAGGGAAGGACTGGAGAATAGAACTATTTACCTACACATACAACTCTCACACTATCCCCCCCCCCCTTGATAGAGTTCATTTTGGTTAGCAAATTTGTTCAGAAGAAAAGTAGAAGAGAAAAAAGGAATGGTAATGTAAGCCAGTGTGAAGTAGGGAAGAAATACACAGAAAGTTTGACTCTCCCTCCCCCCCCAATCATTCTACGATTTAATATTTTTTCCCACCAATTCAGCTCCCCACTTTATGGTATTTCAGTAATAGCCAAGTTCGGATTTACCAGTCAGATGTGAAATCACTTGACTTGGTCCTCTGTTCTCACTAACAGGCCTTTTTTATCCAATATAAGAAAACATATCTATTTACTCTCTTGATTTGTTATTTGTGTGTATCTTTTAATTAATAAGATATCATCTGACTTCTTTTGTATGTCCAGTGTAACATCTTTTTCCACACCATTCTTCTAGCCTGTCCTTTTTAACTCGACTTTCAAATTAGTCTCAATATTATCAGATATAACTTGTTCATCTTTTATAACAAAAAATAATTTTTCAAAATTGTGTTTAAAACTTCTTTTCCTAAGGATTGAGGGAAACTCCAGTGCTATAAACCTTATTGATCTAAAGGTTCCTAATAACTGAAAAGCAGTGAACCAGCAATATTCAAAAGTAATTAGAAAAGGAAGCGTCCTTTTGAAGATGCCAGCTATGGTTGGGGGGGGGAGATGGTTATTCCCTCATGTCCCAGAATTCTAAAGCCAACAGAGACCACTATCTTGAAGTTTTCTTATAAAAAGCAACTGTATGGAGCACCTTTGGGTGATCTTAAGTCCTCGCCTTGTCCTGAGAGGAATTATGAATAACTGGTCTACTTGCCAGCTTCTTTTGGTCTCATTGTCTGCTCTGTTTTTAGCAGAGCCATTTTCCATTTGCCATTTCTTTCCTGGAAGTCCAGAAATGACTTCAGAAACACTGACTATATGAGAGAATCAGACATTTCCATGCCACAGTTTTGGCCCCAGCTAGCCCTTCACACAGCACTTTAAAATTGACTTCTAATCATCATTAGTTCTGCCACTTTGAAACATAGAGCATGCTGTGGTCACTCTGTTTCCTGGTAACTGGCCAATAGATTGAGGCAAGGAACCAAGAACAAGAGGGAAAAAATAAAAATGCAATACTAGCAATTTCTCCCAATCTTATTTTGTAGCACATTAATTATGTTCATTTGTTATAAACTCCTTACTTCTTATCTGGGTGGACAGATCGTTTCTCAAGATTTTCCTAGTAAAAAGTGGTTATGAAATACTACCATAAGTCATGGTGAACTTTCTGACCCTCTACTGTCCACTGGGGAATCCTTACCAAATCTTTGTATTAGCTCCTTTCTAGGAAAATAGAAAGGATGATGGTATAATCTTCTGGTTCAAAGCCCAGAAATATAGAACCTAATAAACTCTGAAGAAATGTTAAAACAAGGTTAGATAGGTTCAGTCTTGCACTTGGGAAACATTTAGTCATAAATTCCCTTATAAAATGAATTAAGCCAAATGCCCAGAGTTTCACTGAAGAAATGGAAATATAGATAAAATAAGGAAGAGCAATAATCACATCACAAAATTCCCAGTGAAAACAATACTGTCTGCCTAGCTGAATCAGTTCCTCAATAATTCCTTTAAAAACCTCTTAGGTTTCAGCATGTGTTTATTACAGAGAGAACGACTGGAGAGAGATCAGCTTGGATCTCTCTTGGATATTTCTAGGCAATCCTTCCTTCACCACCCAATCTTTCTTCTCCTAAATCCTTTTTTTTTTTTTTTTTAGTTTTATAGTAAGTGGGGGACAGATGAAAATCTCACTTTGGGAGAATGACTGTTGCCTTAGCCAGTCAAGAACCATGTTCCATCTATGATGTCCTGCCTCCAACCATCATATCAGAAATTGTATATGGGCTAAACTCACCTTCCTTAATGTCCATTGGTGGAATTAAAAAGGTACAGTCTGATTTCCATCAGCTACTTTTATATAAAAGAGATTGCATGGGAAGCATTCTTCCGGAAAACAAAAACAAAACTCCATCTGTTAAGACCATCAGCAAGAGGTCAATTTATCAGATGCTCTAGAGCAGGGGTGTCAAACTCAATTTCATTGAGGGCTGCATCAGCATTGCAGTTGCCCTCAGGGGGCTGGGTGGGTGTGGCCAGGGTGGGTGCGGCCTACTGGATGGGTATGGCCAGCTCTACATCGTTCATGTCAAGGGTGCCTGTGGGGACCTGGGCAGGAGTGAGATAGATCTGAGAGTCTCTGGCAGAAGGGGGTGGGACCAGGGCAAGTGCCAAGGCATGGTCCACTGGAGGAGCCTCGCTGTTTCTCTCAGGCCATGCAGGGGGGGCCTTATGGAGCTAAGACTGAATGTGTTTCAGCATAGATGGCCACCACAAAATTGTACATTGGCTCCCAGCTGACCTGGGCCAGGGCCAAGGCAGAGGGGGCCGTTCCCTCACTGTTTCCAGTGCTAAGATGAAATGATGGCAACATTGCAGCACATCTTTTCTACATGCAGTAACTATATATTGTATATGAATTATTATTGTTATTGTTGTTATGATAATTGTAATACAATAATTATATATTGCTGCTATAGCATATTTGGGGATTTGGAAGAGGTAAGTTGCAAGATGAAGGTATTGACTCTCTATGGGAAATGGAGGTAAGGAATGTATCAGCTGAGAAGGGACTTGAGGCAAGAATTTGGGACAATGGGAAAATGACCACTGATTACTGCAGCCAAGAAATTAAAAGACGCTTGCTCCTGGGGAGGAAAGCTATGGCAAATCTGGACAGCATACTAAAAAGCAGAGACATCACCCTGCCAACAAAAGTGCGTATAGTCCAGGCCATGGTTTTCCCAGTTGCAATGTATGGCTATGAAAGTTGGACCATAAGAAAGGCTGAGCGCAAAAGAATTGAGGCCTTTGAACTATGGTGCTGGAGAAGACTCCTGCGAGTCCCTTGGACTGCAAGGTGTTCAAACCGGTCAGTCCTAGAAGAGATCAACCCCGACTGCTCTTTAGAAGGCCAGATCCTGAAGTTGAAACTCAAATACTTTGGCCACATAATGAGAAGGAAGGACTCACTGGAGAAGGGCCTAATGCTGGGAAAGATTGAGGGCAATAGAAGAAGGGGATGACAGAGAATGAGATGGCTGGATGGAGTCACTGAAGCAGTAGGTGTGAACTTAAATGGACTCCAGAAGATGGTAGAGGACAGGAAGACTGGAGGAACGTTGTCCATGGGGTCGCGATGGGTCAGACATGACTTCGCAATTAACAACAACAAATAGAACTCAGGGCCTAGGCCACTTCAATTCCCATTTCAAAGACAGATTCAGAATCACTAATGTACACTGAATATCCTGCTAAACAAACTGTGGATCCTGCCAATTGTATCTGACAACATGTGTGCACTTCTTATCACAGCAGTGCTGGAAAAAAATGAAAAACATTAGCCTAAGGAGCATGCATGTGACGGTAAACCAGTTTTCTGAATCAAGTTGCTTTTTCCTCTTTCTTTGTGTATAGTAAGACGAAATGTCTGACATAATGTCTTTCTGCTCTCAGCAAGAAATGAAACTAAAGAAGGAGGAATCTGAATTACTACTTTCAGTGGCTCATGGTGTATCTCCAGGAGAATTCCGGCCAGCTCTCCATTCCAGGCTGTTCAGATCATATCAATACCAAAATAAATGTTCTCCCTCATCACTTTGATTATGTTACTGTCACCCTTTCAGAAGTCTCCATGTTGGCTTCTTATTTTGTTTCAAATCTCTGTTTAAAGATGTGCTCCCCATCAATGTGACATGACTACATTTCCTTGATTCATAATCATTTTTGTATTGCTCAAACATATTTCAGTTTTTCTTTTAAAGTCGCATGGAAATACTTGCCATTCTGCTTCTTATTCATGGAATAAATCTCTTCCAGTCTGTTTGTGTCCTGCTTTTAATCTTTCTCTTTGACCAGAGGGAGGCACCTGCCAGACTGCTTGATTTTCTTTTTAATTAAAAGAATCCTTTAAAAAATAGCAATTAAATTGGAAGGAGGTAGCTTGCTGTAACATAGCCACAAGCATGATT